TATATAGTGCTCTAGATTTTACAAAAGTTTTCACTTAATCTCTTTTTTTTTTTTCCAAAAAAATCTGTTTGGGTGGCGGCTGGGTGGTGCCCTTGGTTAAGCATCCGACTCTTGGTTTTGGCTCAGGTCATGATCTCAGGGTCATGAGATCAAGCCCCAAGTCCAGTTCAGTGTAGAATCTGCTTAAGACCCTCTCTGCCCCTCCCCCACCCCTCTCTCTCTCAAATAAAATAAATAAATCTTTTTTAGAAACTGTGTTTTAAGGGCGCCTGGGTGGCTCAGTCGTTAAGCGTCTGCCTTAGGCTCAGGTCATGATGGGATTGAGCCCCGCATCGGGCTCTCTGCTCCGCGGGAAGCCTGCTTCTCCCTCTCCCACTCCCCCTGCTTGTGTTCCTGCTCTCGCTATCTCTCTCTCTGTCAAATAAATAAATAAAATCTTTAAAAAAAAGATGTGTCTTAAGCTTTTTTTTTTTTTTTTAAGTAAACTCTATGCCCAATGTGGGTCTTGAACTCACAATCCCAAGAAAAGAGTCACATGCTCCACCAATTGAGCCAGCCAGGTGCCCCACCCTTCATTTTATTTTTGTGATGAATAATTGGCTGGCATGAACTACTTCCATTTATCAAGTGAGGAAACTGAGGTTCAGAGAGGGCCAGTGACATCCCCAAGATCACATGATTCGTGAGACTAGAATCGAATGTCCTGGATTCCTATTTTCCTGCTCTCACTTGCTGAGCCCGCTGACCTGAAAACAAAGTCCTCCATGATGGATTTCCCCTTTTTGTCTCTGGTGCTGTCTCTGACTCACCCCTCCTAGCTGCGGCCACGCACGTGGGAGTGCTCATGATCACTTTGACACTAGTTCACTGAATCCTGACCTTTTTCTGAGCTCCCACAGCTAAATTAATCTTCAGTAGTGCTTCCCAATCTTTTTTCCTGCCATAGGCTTGATTACATTTGTAAAAGTATGCCGGGGGAACTGGAGGAAATAAGGAGGGAATCAATCTGTATGGGCTTGAATGATAGAATTTGTGAGATTTATATAGAGGATTATACAGATCGTTCTCAAATAGAATATGGATGCTGATCAATTTTGAGTAGCTATAAAAAATGGTTTTGAGTTTTTACCTCCATGCAACACTGAAACATCAATGTCTTGTGGCCCCCCTGTAATCCATTTGTGGCACACCTGTTGGGAAGCTCTCCTCTCTACAGTTTATAACTATTTAAATACAAGTTCATTATTATTGCTATTGAACATAGATAGTCCCCAAGGTACATCTGTCCAGGTAGTCCTATAACTTATTGTCCAAACCAGGACATTTTTAAGAGTGATAGAGGCTGCTATTAATAATCATGCCAGGACAACTGTTTTAAACCAGAATTATTCCCAAACAAATCTGGACAGAGGCCCAGTCTACTTTTATTCCACTTGCCAACATTTAGCATAATCAAGTCAAAGTTGTAGAATGATTCCTGGGCTCCATCTTCTCAAATCTGACTGTTAACCCTCCAGTGAACCACCCCCCATCCCTTCCCTCTCCCCCTGGCTTCCTGTCCCCTGCAATAGTGGCAGAATACAACCACTAAGTTCCTTAAGTGGCACGTACAGTCAGTCCTGCCAGTCAGTCCCACATTGCTGAATCTAGCCTCAGTGTTCCCACGATGTCTGCACGCTTGTATCTCACAACTTTCTTCCTGTTACTGCCTCCCATGCCCTCTCACTGTAGCCTTTAGCTAACATTCCACACATCTTTCAATACCCACTCAAAAAGTATCTCTTTTAGAAACTTTCCTTTTTCCCTAATGAGCCTTAATCTCTCTGTCCTGTATACTCTGCTGGTATTCATGTGTGTGGGGCCCATGTATGTTTCTTTCCTTAGGTGGATGTTTCTTTATGTACAAGCTCCCCACCAAATTCTAGGCTTTCTCAGCTATCATAGACATAATTCCCCTCTTACCTGTTTTAGGGTTTGGTTTTGGTTTGAAGATCATCCATTGTAGATAAAACAGGAATTCATGGTTCTGCTTACTTTCAGTCTTCTATATTACTTCATTTGCCCCAAAGAGCAGACTTAGTGCTCCCATGTGCCTGTGACTCTGAATTTAACCCCAAATGGTTTTTTGCTACCCTTTGCAACTTTTTTTTTTTTTTGCAAGCCTCACTGTTTTCTGGGTTTCTAACTTCCTCATTATTATTTTTGCAGATTGATGCTTGTTTTTGAATTTGTAATGATTTATTTGGCTGCTTCTAGTTAAACATTAGGCCACCCCCTTAAAAAGATCACTGGTGAATTCCCACATTCACTTGATATTGCTCTACCTTTCCCTTTTCCTCTTGAATGGAAAATTGACAAATGCTTCATGAGAAATTAATTTGACTGACCCTGTTCTGTGCTGCCTGTCCCATAATATCATCCCTGCTCTGGGATTCACATTACCTTTACTGTCACTGTTCTGAAATCTACTCTTCTAAAATGCAAGATGTTTATCTCACCCTTCCTAGTTTATGCCTCAGTTCTTAGGATCATTCTGTCCCATGCTTGCAGGCTCTTCCATTTCATGGCACAGTTCTTCCCTGTTAGTGAAAAGAAAGTCCACGGCAGCAATAATTCCTGTTTCCTTGACTTTCTTAGCAAGTCAATTCTGCTGGTAGAAAATGATCTGCTTTTGGGGCACCTGGGTGGCTCAGTCAGTTAAGCATCTACCTTCAGCTCAGGTCATGATCCCAGGATCCTAGGATCTAGCCCTGCATTGGGCTTCCTGCTCAGCGGGGAGTTTGCTTCTGCCTCTCCCTCTGCCCTCCCCCCCACCCCCCCGCTCATGCTCTCTCTCTCACTCTTTCTCAAATAAATAAATAAATAAATAAAATCTTTTAAAGAAATACGTAAAGGACTTGGAACAGTACCTGACATATAGACATAAGACTATATATATATATATATATATAGTCCAGATCTGAGTTTTGACAACTGTCTGCAATATACTCCAATAGTAATATGCTGTTTTGTATTCTTTTATTTTCACGGTTATTCTTGTCAGTCTACTACTGCTCTTCCTGGCAGACTGGAATCTATATTAAACTTCTGCTGGCTGTGGCTACTGGGTTTAACTCCTGGCTTCAGCACTAACTAGTTGTGAAACTAGTTAGGCAAGTTACTTGAACTCTAACCTTCGTTTTCTCACCTATAAAAGTGAGATAATGATAATGCATCCCTTGAGGCTTGTTATATGGACTGTGTGTGATTGCATATATAAAATTCTTGCACAATCCTTGCTGTAAAGCAAGACTAAAAACTGCTTCCTATGGTTAAAGTTTTAGAGTCTATGGGCTGAGTTTGCTGATGTTCTAACTGAATAGATCTATGAATCATCATCCTCACAGCTAACTCATACTGTTCTGTTTTATGTATATACTCAATCTTTAAAGAATCCTGTAACGTAAGTACTATTACTATTCCTATATTGTAAATGAAGAAACTGAGGCACAGAGAGGTTAAGTATCTTGCCCAAGTCACACACCCAGAGCCAAAACTCTAATTCAGGCACTCTGTCTTTGTAGTTAGTGCTCTAAAAGTCAAAGAAATTGAATGTTTCTTAGGCCTTCACTGTCTCATATCAAAGATCTCCACTGGAGTTTGCCAAGGTATCAATTCGTTTTAGAATATGATGTCACCTGAAAAGAGTTCCTTAGGCTTTAGGTATCTAAGATACAGTTGGTGACATGACATTTTGTTATATAAATTAAAGTCCTTTATTTGAATTTTGTCTCAGTGGTGGGCCATCTTGCCACATTGTGAAAGTGGTGAAGAAGTACTTGCAAGCAGGGTTGATCTTTTTCTCAACGAAGGGCTTTGGATTTGCTCAAATGCTTGCCATCTTTTGGGTGTAGAGATCTTTCCTGTACCTATGGAAAAGATGACTTTGACTTCTAAAGTTATTAAAGGCAGGTGTCTTCAGTCAAACACCATAACAGAAGAAATTCACAATGGCCTCTATCATTTGGTAACAACCATATACTGGGCTTTGGGGTGATAGCAGTTCACAAAACACACGGCACTTGGCCTTCCTAAAGCTACAATCCAATGCCAAATATATGTGGCAAGAAAATATAGTGAATATGGAGAAATTTGTTGGCAGGCCGATGGTAATTGAAATCCTATAAAGACATGAAATCCCCTATGGAAACAATGTTGAATGAGAAGAGGTGGTACCAACAAAGGGGACAGAACAGGGAACAATGAGGAAAACTGGGGAAATAAAGTGTTAAAGAAACCAGCAAAGAGTAGTATCAGGAAAGGGTGGTCAACTGAACCCATCTTGAATTCTCCTGAGAGATTGAGGGACATGAAGATGGAATGGGGCCCATGAGCTCTACATCCTGGTGTTCTCCTCAAGGTATCAGCCACAGATGTACTCCCAAGCAACTGTGGATTTTACATTTCAGGGTCTCAATCTATAGCCTGTTTGTTAGAATAATTTCAAGGATGTCTGCCAAAACTAATGTTTTGACTGGTAATGCTCATCTTATTGAGCTATCATTTCTCACAGGAAATAGCCAAAATAAACTTTATAGCTTATGATTAAAACCTGAGATGGAAGTTACTGATGGATATTACTGAGGTACTAAATAGCTATATATAAAAATAAATATAAAAATTATATACACGTAACTATTTAGTAGATTAAAAAATATTTGTTTAAAAAAATTTAGGGGCACCTGGCTTGCTCAGTCAGTGAGCAGGCGACTGTTGATCTCGGGGTCATGAGTTCGAGCCCCATGCTGGGTATGGAGAGTGCTTAAAAATAAAAATGATGTTGAATGAGAAGAGGTGGTGCCAACAAAGGCAGAAAGAAAAAGCAAAATAGCTAATTTCCCCAAAGAGCTAATTTTAAATTTATGTTGGTTGGTTCATCTATGTGGAAACCTATCTTAAAATGTGGAGTCTTAAAAAAAAAGCTAAGTAGCTTTTTCTGTCTGCTTCAAAATGAGGTTCACATCAGATGAATATTAAACTTTCTCCCCTGTAGGTTGATGCCTATTAATTCTATAGTTAATAGTATACCATAAAAATTCACATACTACACTTTTGTCAAGAACAGTGGGCCAGTATTTTTTAGGACACACCATGTGCTAGATTCGAGCCTTAGTTAGCAACCACAGAAGCCCTTACTGACTAAAACCAGTAACTTGTCAGTCTTATTTCTTCACATAGCAAATTCAAATTGGCATAATTCTACAACTTAAATGAAGATATTTTGGATAAAAACAAGAACATTATTATTGGTTATGTCTACAGAAGGAATCTGTTTGGCAGTGATTTTCAATTCCTCTAAAAACATGATTTCCCGAATCCATAAAAGCCTATTTTTGGGTAAATCATAGGACTTTAACTGCTGAAAAAGTTGGACTTTCATTTGGGTGTTGTCAGTGTTTAAATGTCTTTATGCCATTCCCCCCACCATCCATTTTTTTGAGTCTGAAAGAATGTAAAAAAAACAGCAGACAGATGCAGAAATAAGGGTATTCCAGGAAAACAGCAGGTGTACAGTTCTGAGGTGGGCCAGCATGGTGCCTACCAGAAGCTACTTCTGTTGAGATTCTGAAAGGTATAAGAAGTTTGAAGGAGATCTTTATGTAGCTGAACCATGGGTAGAACTAGTCCCAGTCTTGTGTTAGGATCTATTTCACTGTTTTAATTATGCTAACTCTAAGTAAGCTAACAGTAAAATTATGAAAATTATGAAAACATACAACAAAAGTATGATTTTTCAAGAATAAGTAAAGACTTTGGTTTTCAGTTTATGTGAGGATTGTTAGCTTCCACCCCTGCTTATATTGTAGGGCCCTGTATGTCAAGAGCACTTCCAAGTGTTTAACATATCTGTCAACCTCAAGGAGAAGGACCAGTGACCCTTAGCATAGTACTGGGCACCTACCATTGTAACACCCAGTTGTAAATAGTCCACTTCCTGGCATCCTTGGGGGGGGGTGGTGAAGGAGACAGTATTTAGGCAGCTTGCACTTTCTTTCATACTTATACTACATCATATTATATTCTCTTTAACATATTTCCCTTTTGAAAAAAAAAAAAAGATGGGGCACCTGAGTGGCTCAGTTGGTTAAGCATCGGACTCTTGGTTTCGGCTCAGGCCATGATCTCATGGGTTGTGGAATCAAGCCCCAAGTTGGGCTCTGAGTTCAGCGGGGAGTCTGAGATTCTCTCCCTCTGCCCCTCCCCCTGCTTGTGTACGCTCTCTCTCTCAAATAAATAAATAAATCTTAAAAAAAAACACCCCATATTTCCCTTTTGTCTTCTAATTCTAACCCAGTTTATTATCTCAGTAAAATTAATCTTTATCCCCCATTTCTTTTGTAATCCCCTAAGAATGACTATAATTACCTCTGACAAGAAGACTATATTCAAATCAGGGATAAGGAAATCTATGTGCTTTGAAGGGAAAAGAATTTTTATTTTATTTTATTTTTATTTTATTATTGCTTTGAAAGGAAAAGAAATTTTAAAAAGAAACAAATGCATCAGCCTCTGTAGTCCTTGAGAGAACCCATAAGTCCCACTCAGATTATCCATTAATTCCCATATCCATTGTCATTGCTCTCTAAACTGCCTCTATGCATCATCGCAACCTAAAATGCCAAATAAACAAAACCCACAATCAAATATTTCTAATTTTATGCCTTGGTTTTATTTATTATTATCCAGGTTTGGAGGTAGAAGACTATCAATTAGGCATATTGTTTGTATGAAAAAATATGTTCTGACTTTCAGACCACCAACTTGAGAGCCACAGACGGACCTGCAGTTATGTTATTTTTGGTCCACATTGTATATTAAACATTTTTATTTTTTATTTTTTTTACATTTATTTATTTATTGAAGTCATCTCTACACCCAACGTGGGGCTTGAACTCACGACCCCAAGCTGAAGAGTTGCATGCTCTTCCAACTGAGCCAGCCAGGTGCCCCTGTATATTAAACATTTTTAAATTCATTGCCAACACCTAAAATTCAGAATGTTTCACACAACAATCTGGGCTTCCTGCTTCTCTTGAAAAATTAGATCATCTGGCAATAGTAGGCCAGAATTTCCATATCACACAATCACCTAGGGAAAGCAGCAGCTTCATCCTTATTCTTTACTCATTTGCATTAGCTGCTGTGGCCCCTGAAGACATGAGTTTAAGGCTTCTACAGTGTTGAGTGTTGCATAGAAGTTGGCTAACTGAGGAAACCCAGCACAGTCCTATGTTCTAATTAGATACAGGATCACACTGAGATAAAATCAAACATCCACCTTCCTCACCTTCCCCCATGGGAACACTATGTGAACATTTGTAGTCTATCCCCAGCAAAGGGTTGGACACTAGACATGCCGGAGACCAGAAAGAATTGGATCCAGCAGAGGAGAAATAATACTTAGAATAACAGAGAGTAGGCCCTGCCTGGGACTCAGAGCTGGATTGGGGCCCTGGTTCTGGCCCCCAAATAGAGGGAAATCATTCAATTCATTCAAATTCAGTTTAAATTTTGATTTGTAAAACAGCAGGGCTGTTACAGGTGTGAGGAGGTTAAAGAATAAGTTTAACTCTTCTCCAACACTTTGGATACATTGTGTTCAAAATGAAAATCAAATTTGAAACTAAAGGGCTGACCAGGATCTGATTGCTTCCAGTTAATATAATTTAGCAATGTCAGAATAGGTTCACATTGTTATTTTACTATTATATTCATTGTTTATATCACATTATTATATTCTTTATTGTTATTTTAAAGGCCAACAATATTTTAAAATATTTTAGTGTTTGTTTTTTCTTTTTCTTCTTTTTTTCATTTTCTTTCTCCTTTTCAATTTCTGCCCCCTCTTATTTCTCTGAGTCTTGAGACATTGCAGAGTGGAGATCTTCCTCATTAGACTGGACCTCTTCTTCCTCTTCGTCTTCTTGTTCCCACCTTGTCAGGCCCTCAGCCTGTAAGGTCCATCCCTATCCCTCCATCCTCGGTGAGCTCATGGATTTTAACAAGTACCATCTTAAGAGATGTCATCGTACTTGTTTACCAGAGTCTGAAACCCTTACTACATTTGGCCTCTACCTGATCACGCTGCTCGTGCAGCTCTGAGGGCAAGGACTGGGCCTTTCACAGAGTGAGGCGGGCTCTCACGAAAGGCATTTTTAGGCTTTGGTGCCCTCTCTGCCCGGGCCTGGGCTCCTCGGCCAAGTGCCCAGCGCGCCGTCAGTCTCCGCTCCTCGCTCCGCCTGCCCGCCTGCGCTCCGTGGCCGCCTGGCGGCGCTCCAGAGCTCCCAGCTCCGTGTCTCGGCCAAGTTGGAGGACGAGAGTTAAAGGTGAAAGGCAGAGCGGGAAGGCTGAGGGCCCCCGGCGGGGAGGGGCCGGCCTTTGTGACCCAGAGGCTGCACCAAACCTCCGCTGCGAGAGAAGCCAGGAGGGAGACGCCTCCCCTGTCTCCTGCCCCCGTCGGCTTTCAGGCGACCCAACGCCCTCTCCGCAGCCGTTCATCCCCCCGCCCCGGCTGCTCGCCCGCCTCCGGGCTGGTGCGCGCCGATGGCCGCAACCGGGGTTCGGTTCTCAGAGATCGCGGGGGGGACAGACGTAGACCAAACCTCGCACGGAGAACGGAGAGGTGCGGCGTTGGAGACGCGTTCGAGCCACGTCGTCACACACGGAGCCTGCAGAGCGGGACTGTTCTCTGCGGAGCAGGGGCGGCTCGGGGGTGGGGGACTTCGCAGAGGAGGTGTCTGGAAGGATAAATAGGAATTCAGGGAACGGACCGTTCAGTCCTGAGGGAGGCCAGCAGTGCTCCTTCAAACCTCCTAGGGTGCCTTGCGTTGCAAGCCCTGCTCTTAGCAACATTGTCCCAAACCCGTTCACCCATTACGGTTGCAATGAAAATCAGTAACAAGAGCTCTCTAGGACACCTGGCTAAAGGGGCACCTGGCTAACTCAGTAGAGCAGGTGACTCTTGATTTCAGGGTTGTGGGTTCAAGCCCCTCTTCGGGTGTAGAGCTGATATTAAAAACAGCAAAGAAACACAACTTGTTTAATGAAATACTGAACTAGACCAGTATTTCTCAACTTTAACATGGAAAAGAACCATCTGGAGAGATTCCAAAGTCCCACCCCCAGAGATACTAATTAAACAGGTAGAGTTGGGGAGCAAGAATTTGCATTCAGGTGCTGCTAGTCTTTGAACCACCCTTTGAATAGCCTTGGATTAGACAATTTGTATGATTGCTTAACAGTGATCATAGAGATGAGGTAAAACTGGTTTTTTTTTTTTAAAGATTTTATTTATTTATTTGACAGAGAGAGAGACAGCGAGAGCAGGAACACAAGCAGGGGGAGTGGGAGAGGGAGAAGCAGGCTTCCCGCTGAACAGGAACCCGATGCGGGGCTTGAACCCAGGACCCTGGGACCATGACCTGAGCCGAAGGCAGACGCTTAACGACTGAGCACCCAGGCGCCGGAGGTAAAACTGGTTCTTAATAACTTGTTAAAACAGGTGGATTTTTTAAATTAATGATTTGCTAATCTATTGGTGAGCGAAGCTCCTTTTGTCTCTTCAGTTGGGAGCTCTTTTAGTGGAGCCATACTTCGGCTTCCTTGGGTTTTGTCCTGGGGATAGGATGGGGGTGGCGGAACAGATGTTCTTAAAAAGTTTCATAAAGACCAGATGCAAAATCATCAAATTAAAGCTATTTCAATACGTTAAAATACAGTGCCAACCCTATTCTTCTTAGGGCCACAGAACAGTAGTCCATCCCAACTTTCCAATAAGCCTTGCTCTTCTGTACCTTTTTGTGTGTTACCATGTTAATTCCACTGGGTGGAATGTCCTTCTCCCCCTTTTCTCCTGGCAAATTATTTGTTCTTAGAGACACAGCTCAAATGTCACCAATGCTGTGGACACACTGCAAGCTCCTAGGGGTAGAAATTGTTATTTCTTTCTCCGTGTATGTATCCCTGGTACTTATCACAGTATTGCATTGCATATATCCACCTTATGCAGTGTCAGCTTCTTAAGGATGGAGGCTATGTTTGTATTACCCCTATCTTCCTACTAGTCTTGGTGGGTCTGGTATACAATAAACATTCAAATGTTGCTGAACAAGTGGATGACAAATAGATTCATCCTCTTTTCCTTGTAGTGGGATATCTCACGTGTAAATTCACCTCAGGAGGGCAATACAGTCATCTGGTGTATAGATACTTTTATCTAAACTTAATATTTTAGGGGCACTTGGGTGGTTCAGTCCATTAAGCATCTGCCTTCAGCTCAGGTCATGATCCCAGAGTCCTGGGATGGAGTCCCACATCAGGCTCCCTGCTCATCGGGGAGTCTGCTTCTCTCTCTGCCCCACCCTCCTCCCCCACTTGTTCTCTCTCTCTCTCTCTGTCTCTCACTCTCTCTCAAAAATAAATAAATAAATAAAATCTTTTCAAAAATAAACTTAATATTTTAGATATTAAACACATTAGATTGTTTGTTGCAATCGTGGATCTTGACTAAATGTTTGTAAGGAGTAAATTTTTTCTGTTTCCTGAGTCTGTTAAAATGAGAAACCTCTCCTGGGGCAGAGGTAAAAACCTCCATTTTTAGGGACTCCAGATTCTATCACAATGGGACTGATGGGCCAAGGAATGACTGAGCTACATTAACTTGAATCTGCTGGCTATAGAAATTCCAAGTGTTGTAAAGCCCTTGTACTGTTAGTTTTCTTAGGCACTGTTAAAGTTGGCAAACAGGTCCTGCTAGCCAGCCTAGCAGATCTGCTGGCAGATATGCCTCTAGCAGAATAGAGTTTGAGATACATTTCATGACCTACTTCCCTTTCCCACCCTGATTTTAAACCTTTCATTCTTAAGTGTTCAAAACCTGTGTGATGGGAGAGGCGCGGCTTTAAATAATGGTTTGGTTAATGATTTTCATCTGAACTCTGAGTATTACCATTGAGCATGATGGGTCAGTCAGTTGGGCTTTTGGATTCCAGTACTTGCTTTGTCACTTTGAGCTTTATGATCCTGGGCAAGACATTTAACTTCTTTAAGCCTCAGATGAGCATAAAATGTGTGTAATACCTGCTCTTCCTATTTCACAGGTCCTTGTGAGATTCAAACTGGTGAAAATTCAAGCGGTCAGAAACGGCAAAGCACTGTACAAAAGAGTATTATGATTTTTATAATTTATTACATGTCTTATATAGTATGCAGTGATTTATTATAATCATGTTCTGAATGTACACAAAGGAGTCTTAATTTATTATAATCATCATCTGAATCTGGCCCTTCAGGCATCTGTAGATATCTATAAAAATCATTTGCTTTATATCTTTTGGATTTATATGACATTTAAGAAACAATTTTCAAAGGTCACATCTAATTTGCTGCTTACTGCACTTTACTTAAAGCAGAAGATTACCCCAATTTCTGGATTATCCTGTGTAACACACTTGTGAAGTCAGGCGGGAGGCAGGAGTGGGCTAGCTCTGAATTGTATAGCAGAAGGGAGTTTGGGAGATTTTGTTGTGAAGTTTCGTTCTTTTGTGCTGTCTTTAGTCAGCTGTTTTTTGGAACACTCAAATGAAAACAAATGCTTCTTGTCCTGGCAGTCAAGGGAGGCTTTTAGCAGCTCAAGTAGCCTCATGAAGGACATTTGTTTATGACCAGCTGTACATGGGGCACTGGAAAAAATTTTGATCCCCAAGACTCCGACCGTGTCTGTCCTAAGGAGCTCACAATTAGTTATTGCTATTAAAGATAACAGAAATGTGAATAAAAACACAAAAGTGGTGCCTGGGTGGCCCAGTCATTAAGCGTCTGCCTTGGGCTTAGGTCATGATCCCAGAGTCCTGGGATGAGCCCCGCATCGGGCTCCCTGTTCGGCGGGAAGCCTGCTTCTCCCTCTCCCACTCCCCCTGCTTGTGTTCCCTCTCTGTCAAATAAATAAATAAAGCTTGTGTTCCCTGTCTCTCTGTCAAATAAATAAATAAAATCTTTAATAAAAAAAAGAACGCAAAGTGATTTTTTTCAAGTCTCATTTCAGTTGTCATGGGTGTGTGTATGGAGAAGAGTGAGAAAGGAAACAGGACCCCAGAGAGAGAAATGTGCTGGTGAGGAAGAGCTGGAGGAAAGGGGGAGATGGAGGGTGCCTCTTCAGCCCGAGTGGTCAAGGCTAGACTGTGCTAGAGCAGCTGACCCTGGGCGAGTCATGTATCCTATCCTTTCCAGGCCTGAGTTTCCCTTTGTGTAATACGGGAGGCTAAATGTTCATTCCCGATGTAAAATCTTCCAGTTTTCTGACATATGTTTGAAACTACATTGACTCTTGAGTGTCAGTTGAGGGTGATGGTTAAGGGTTCTGGAACCAGAATGTTTGGTTCAAATCCAGCCCACACTTCTTGCCTGTGTGACTTGGTCTGAGACTCCGGCAACACTGGGAACAGTGACTGGCAGAGAGCAGATATCAGTACGTTGTGAGCCATTATGTATCTTGATGTACCTTGATAGGATGTAGGAGGCTTTTGGAGCTAAGCAAGCACCTTGGCAATGTAAAATTATTTGTTTTCTGGGTCATAGTAAAAACTAAAAAAGTTTAGCAACTGGAAAGAGACAAGCCTGTCCTTTTTGTGCTCCCCCAGATTGAATTGCAACCCTGGGAGTGAGAGACAGGTGAAAGTTTTAGTGTGAAAGGGTGAAGGTGTCAGATCCTATAGTTCTACGTTACCTTGCTAATTGAATGGCAGTGAGATTCTCCTCAGGTTTGCTTTGTAGCTTGTAATGAAATCCTTGAATAGGAGGCTAAATCAATTTGAAATTTTGTAATAGAACAATCTCATCAGAGAATCCTACTGTTACATAATTATATTTGTGTTTCACAGGTTGGCTTAATAATTCTCTCCAGTGCTTTGCTGTATGGAGAGAGTGCAACTGGCCCAACCTGAACTCTTTTGGTCCATGCCTACTCTCAGAGTGTGAGACAAAAGTTATTTTTTTTGTATATATAATATACAAATATATAATACTGGGTACAAGAAATAAGAGAGGAAGGACAGGTGTAGGAGGGGTCCCTAACCAGATGGGGATCTGCCAAAGACCTGAGCAAGGCTTCTGCCAATTCAGGACCTCGGCAGAGAGGGAACAAACAATAAGTAATGTGGATTTCCTCCTCACATGCGGCTTTTTTTTCTCTTTTATCTTGTAACTGGGGCCCAGAGAACTTAGGAAGCTTGCCCAGGTCATGTACTTAATAAATGGTGGAGACAGGATCTGTCTCTCTGCAAAGTCTGTGCTCTTTCTTCTCAATCATTTTTCCTTAACCCTTTCTGCCCTTGTTCAAAGAATTTCAAGTCAGGGATAATGAAAACTGGTTCTTTCATAGCCTTTTCTTCTGAGGAAGCCTTGAAGATGGGGTTTATATCAGTTAAAGAGCTTTGCTACTTTGAAGTCCTTCTGTATCTCTCAGTTTAGGAACATGCAGCTGGTGATTTAGCCTGGCTCTTCCAAGCTAATGTAGCAAGACTACATTATATGACAGGCTAAGATGCTATGAAGGCCTGACATAAGCAAATAAAAAGAGGTAACATTATGAGCACTTATATTCTAAGTTTTATGTCAGGTATCCTTTGAGAAGCTCTATAAAGTAGATAAAGAAACTGAGGTTTGGTGAATTGCTCAGAATCACCCAGCTAGAAAGTGTCAGAACCAGAATTGATCCTTGCCAACTGACCTCAGAGTGCACACCATGAAACACTGTGCTATGATCTGAATGAGTAGGGAAGGGGGAGGGATGAAGTAGAGGCCGTGGAGTGCTCTCCATGCAAATTAAAAGTAGTTAAACCTTTGAATATGGGAAATGACGTGGGTAGTGAGTTACAATAGATGTTTTCAGTATTTAATGCTGTTGGTTCATGTTGAAATTTGACCACAGGCTAAGTTAGTATTATTATTTCTGTTTTACAGATGAGAAATCAAGACACAGAGAGGCTTAGTAACTTGCCCAAGATCCCACCCCTGGTAAAGTGGGGGAGCTGGGCTTTTCACTCAGGTACTCTAGGGCTGGAGTCTGTGCTGTTGACTTTGGCACTATACGTGCCTCTTAGGTTGAGTCTTTTATTTCTACACTCCCCCTGCCTTCACTTCCCTTATGTACCTGATCTTCCTGTAGGTGTCTGAATTATAGCACTTGCCCAACACCTTTACATCTTGGTTTCCAACCCTTTTCTTTGCTACCTGTGCTTCATCTTCCATTAAGCCACAATGTAGGCTAGAAACCTTACTGGATTTCATCCCAGGAAGAACAGACAGAAGTAATTCCTTCCTTCTCTGAGCTCATGCAACCTTTTATCTAGATCTCCCTTACTGCTTGTATTGCTTAGCTAACTAACAATAGCTCTTGGTTCTCCTCTATTTCCCTAAGCTCCCGAAGATTGTCTCTTTCTTCCCCCTTAAGCTTTCCTGCCCATAGAATTGAATTCATAATTTACATGTTGAATGAGTTAACAGAAAACAACCCTATTCACAAACATAGCAACTAACTTGTATATTGGTAAACGGAGTACAGCCTCTGCTTTGCTTCCTTTGATTCTTGCTTGTCCTTTGATCTTCGGCCATAATACCTGGGTAGGGACCCAGTGGCCCACCTATTTTGTTGTGTCTGGTTCCACTGTGGTGTAATGAGTACCCTTATCCCTTCCATGTCCTCAGGCAGAATTTCTCCCCCAGATCCTGGAATGATTATGGGGGCAAGTTTAAGACCCATACCACTGCCCTAGAGTCCTTCAGCTGGCCAAGAATTGGTCAATTCTCAACCTGTGGGGCTCAAAAAACTTGGCCTGCTTCTTTGTGCTACTGGAATTTTCCAGCTACTTCTAAGGAGATTTCAGGAAACTTTGTTAACTCAGGAATGTTTTGGGGGGTGGATCTGAATCCCACTTCACAAACTCAAGGATGCAAGAAATAAAACTTCATCTGTATTTCGAGTCTACATTTTTAAGGTAGAACTTCATTCCCATAAACTCCCCCTAATTGCTCTTTACTTTTAGGTTTTGGAGGGTCTTGTATAATGTTGAGGCATAACGAGTAGGGGAGGCCATCTGGGTACTCATCCTTGGCTTACATCTTTGTTCCATGCAGTCTTTGGTGTTTGAGTCCCATACATTGCCCTGGAATATCCTTTGTTCTAATTTATAAGAGCAGTTTAGGTTCATTAGTGCTCTCCCTCTATTCCCATTGGACCCTTGAGAGCATATAAGGGGCCATGGCTAATGGAAAGGTGGTCTCGGGTCCATCTGCAAGACACTCATGCAGCCCTTGCCACTTTTATGCCTTTATTGGACTATGGAATCATTCAGCTGCTCTTGCGCTAGTGGAGGCCTGAGGAACTCTCTGAGGTCATTTGAGGCTCCATCTTCTTAGACATACCTTGCAGCCACTCTTCCCCAGGGTCTTGCCTCCTTCCAAGGTTCTGTCTGGGCATGGGGCATATATCTACTGCTTTCAGATTCCACAGACATATCTGGGAGTTGCTGTGTCTCAGGGGTCTCTTTTGATTGGATTTCAGATATCAATCCATACATTCCTCACTTCATCTCCAACACTTTCTCCTCCCCTCTCCCACTACTTAGTTTGGAGAATCATTTTCTATTCCAGGAGACTTCTTATTCATCATGTGATCTTCTAAATCAGTGTCTATTTTTTAATTCTCCCAAGGATATAGGCTTTGAAAATCAAAAGTATGAAGTCACTCCTGCTTCTTTGCTATTTGTTCTCATACCCCTTCCCTGAAGTAACAACAACAGAAAGACTGGGATAGTGAGAAGAGCTAAGGGAGAGGCACCTGGGTGGCTCAGTCATTAAGCAGCTGCCTTTGGCTCAGGTCATGATCCCAGGATCCTGAAATCGAGCCCCCATCGGGTTCCCTGCTCAGCCAGGAGCCTACCTGTCCCTCTCCCGCTCCCCCTGTTTGTGTTCTCTCTCTTGCTGTCTCTCTCTCTCTGTCAAATAAATAAATAAAATCTTTAAAAAAAAAAAAAAAGAGCTAAGGGAAACAGTAGATATTGGAGGAAAAGGTTAGATAATATTTACAATTTTATCATGCCACATGATATCACCCAGACATGCGAATGTCATCCCATACTGAATAGGACTACCCTACCCCAGCACTGTAGGCGCTTAGACAGTGATCACTATTATTAACAATAGTAAGAGTGTTTGGTGACAGATTACTGTTTGAGTATCTCTGTTTTCAAATTTTGAAATAATCTTGGTATTTTCTGGAGGATAACTATTTTTCATTCTCTCATTTATCAATGCAATTCCAAACATTAGCACGACTTTTAGCACCTGTTTGACCCTACCTGACCCCCCATCTGCTCATCTGTTTTTCCCATATAAACTGTCCCTTCTTGAATCAACACTTCTTTTTTTTTTTTAATATTTTATTTATTTACTTGACAGAGAGAGAGACAGCGAGAAAGGGAACACAAGCGAGGGGAGTGGGAGAGGGAGAAGCAGGCTTCCCGCTGAGCAGGGAGTCCGATGTGGGGCTTGATCACAGGACCCTGGGATCATGACCTGAGCTGAAGGCAGACACTTAACGACTGAGCCACCCAGGCGCCCCTTGAATCAACACTTCTGCCCCCACCTCACCCTGGCAGTATTGTGAACAAGGCAGATATTTGTTCAGAAATTCTGTTAGTGCAAATGATCATAAACTGACATGGCAGAAGTATTTTGGGAAAGATATGGACAAATTGAGTCAAGTCTGCATGCACTCAGAGCATGCAGTGCATAAAGGAAACCCGAGGTGGACTCTGTAAAATGAACAATCTTCTCTAATCTGTCTTGTAAAGACAATTCACCTGTTTTACAGCTTTCCTATAGTTGAAGAAACTCATATATACTTTGTCGTAAGTATTCAGTAATCTTCATTTAACTTAAAAAAAAAAAAAAAGTCCAGAAAGTAACACAGCCAAGCCTGTGATTTTCTTCATATTCATTATTTCATGCTTATCAAGCTACTTGTTCTGTGAGAAATGGGATGGATCCTGTGTGTTCTCTGTTAATTGATAATGATATTGAGAAGGGTTTATGTGTGAACTCTAGAAATCTTAGTGAATGCAGTGATTTTTAGCTATGTCCTGGCAGAAATCAATATTCCCCAGTAAGCTGACATTTTACCACAAAACTCAAAGGATGATTGCCTTTTCCCAATTTGACAAAACCTTAAATTAATGGTTCAAATTCTGTGTGTGTGTGAATTTATTTCATATCACACATATTTATTTCATAGCAAGCACATTATCAGTTGTTTAACTTTTTCAGTAAATTTGGGCAATTGATAAAGAAATTGAATTATTTTACTAATATTTATTTGTTCTGCTGCTTATATTACAAACAAATAAATATTAATGAAATTACTGGAATAGCTCTTCATGGTTAGATTAATTGCCTGTCGTTCTCATTTTTCATAAACACTGGCCAAAGGTTTGTGGGGTTTTTTCTTTTTTTTTTTTTTAAGATTTGATTTATTTGACAGAGAGAGCACAAGCAGAGGGAGAGAGAGGGAGAAGCAGGCTCCCTGCTGAGCAAGGAGCCCGATGTGGGACTTGATCCCAGGACCCTGGCATCATGACCTGGGTGGAAGGTAGCTGCTTAATCAACTGAGCCACCCAGGCGTCCCACTGGCCAATGGTTTTATAATGCAGTGATTTCCAACTCTTTTCATGGCTGGGCATATGTATACAACAATAATATTTTACATGGGACACTGGGGTGAGGGGCTCTCAGGAGCTTGGCTCCCCAGGGGTAAGGGGATCAGTATTATGGCACACCAGTGTGCCTCAGGCACATGCCGGGAAGCCGTATTATGCTGTATCACAGACTTTTTATAGTCCTGATTTCTGCTACTAGTAACATTGTTTCCTTGACCTTATGATGGCATTAAATATTTCACTAATCATCAGTGTTCTGTTTCATATTTTCCAGAAGGGCACTGCTACTCTCCAGCTGTCCCTCCACCCTAGGTTTGAGAGTCACTAGGAGATACAGTATCTAAATTCATGCACCTGTGCCAGGAAAGTTTCCAGTCACTCTTTGACACTTGTGAGCCTCTCCGTTGGACTAGCCACTGGCTGCCTGATGGCTTCCAGTTCTCTGGCTTTGAAACATGTCCATTAAGTCTTACAGGGAGGTCAGTTTTATAAGTGTACTCAACAGGAAGACCTTGGATAAGATGTGGAAAGAGGGGAATACACTCTATAGGATCTTTGCTGGGTGGATGACTTGGGTCTCTTCTCTCTTTGCTCCTTCTCCAACCAGATAACTTCCTGCAAAGACTTAATGTGGAGCTCAATGCCCTCAGGTTCCAAGGGGACAGGATGGCAGACTGTTTATTCCTTGCACATTTCTGAAAAGCTCCTGGTAATGTCTGAGGTGTTCTGCTTCTCAGTGCTAGGACCAGAGTTACCTCTGCTCCTGGCCTCTCACACATCATTTCTTGCTTCACTCTCAAAATAACAGACACACTTAAGTAAACAAGCTGTAAAACACTTTAAAAATAATTACAGTAAATATGAAACTTTCTTATCTTTTATTTGCATTTAAATAAAGTATTCTTCCTCTAGTCTTAGTCTCTTACTGGAACTGTGATGTGCTGAGTGAGGGGAGAATAAAGGACTAAATCCTAAAATTCACAAGTTCCAGAATTACCACTTATCCAGCTAAATGTTTATGTTTGCTTAATTTCTAAGCCTTCTTGATAAAATGGGACTGATGATACCTGTCCAATGCCCCTCTCAGAGCTGATCCAAAAAATACGATCTCATGTATGAAAATACTTTGCAAATACTAAAGGCAAAAAGTAAATATAATTTGTTATTGGATTAAAAGTGGCCAGTGAGTCCTGAAGAGTATTGGCAATTGCTTGTAATAATTCAAACACCAGGAGTTGGTGAGAAAAAGCTGACTCGTGTTCTCCCTCTGTGCTCCCTCCCTTGCCCTGCAGAGCAACCTGATACACAACCTGGGCCTGAGCCATCATCTGCTCGCACTGAATTTTATCATCGTTATTTTTGGCAAGAAAAGCGCGTGGTCATCGGCCCAGGTGAAGGTGACCGACACTGACTTTGACGGTGTGGATGTCAGAGTGTTTGAGGGCTCCCCAAAGCCAGAAGAGCCTTTGAGACGCAGCGTTGTTTACATCCACGGAGGCGGCTGGGCTTTGGCCAGTGCAAGTACGTCCTAGTCACCTTTGGGTCTTTTGGGGCTGTGGTTTGCCCTGAGCGAGATGTGTGATTGAGTTTGACTTCCTTATTGGGTGAGGAGAGGAGGACCATTTGACTTGGTTCCCTTGAACAGTCTCAGTTACTCCTATTATCCCAGCAGAATTATTAATAGTGTCCCCTTTTCACACTCGAAAGGGTCCTGTCTTGGATGATTAATTATATGATTACCCTACATAAAGGTTTTGCCTACCTGTTTATTTCTTGTTAATGCAGGCAGACTCTTTTGAAAATATTTCCTGTGACCTATATCCTAGGCTAACTTATGTGAAGTGCTGACCATAGCTTTCAGCACCAAAACAAGCCAAAGTTTCACTGGGCCAGAATATGAGGAAATTCTCTTTTGCCGACTTGTGTTTTGAAAACATTTTTCTATGAAGTAGGACCAGTATTTATGAACATACATGATAACTCATCCACATTTCATCTGCTTATGAAACCAAAGATGAAAATATAAAAGGTATACCACCATTAAAAGGAAACAATGTTGCAAAATTCAAGAATATTCTCTTTGGTGCTTGGTAACTTTCATGAGTTATGAAAGGCAGGCAGCCAAGTGCAACAGCCTAGCAGAAAGCATACCAAGGAGGAAGTAAGGGCCTTTTCTCTGCCTGTAATTATCATGGAGCTACTTTCTCGTGTTCAGCCCAAAGCTACTGGCATCCCCTATGGCTCTTTTTTTTTTTTTTTAAGTTTTATTTATTTAAGTAAACTGTCCGCTCCACGGGAGCTCGAACTCATGTCCCCGAGATCGAGTCACATGCTCTTCCAACTGAGCCAGCCAGGTGCCCTGGCATCCCCTAGGTTTAAAGGTAATGACAACTTGTTCTAGTTTGTTTGTGGGTTTTGTTTGTTTTAATATAGGCTCCACACCCAACGTGGAGCCTGATACAGGGCTTGAACTCACGACCCTGAGATCAAGACCTAAGCTGAAATCAAGAGTCCGATGCTCAACTGAGCCACCCAGGCACCCCTTGTTTGTGTTTTTAAATAGCATTTTTTCAAATGTGACAAAGGCCAAAAAAGTGTAACTTTTTCTAGTAATCACATTTCATATTCATTATTTATTCTTTTATTCATGGATTTGTTCATGTTTTCAACAGATGTTTATGGAGTACATAGGTTTAGCCAGGACTGCGGGGTTTCCTGGGGTTCGGGACTTCAGTATTCGAACAGTTATGTACAAACCTATACCTGTGGCCATCCCAATATGTGCTAGGGGGTGAGGATACAGAAGTGAGTAACAGAAATGATTGCATCTATAGTATTGGACACTTGCCAAATGAGACATTCCTCTGGAGGCCAGGAAGTGTAAGTACCAGGAATGGCATGGATTACAAATCCAGATGGCCTTGTCCACATGATTTTGATCACTCCTGCCAGAGGAAGAGCTCAGGCTGGAGACGCTATGCAGATGGTTATGTAGTTATTAAAATTGTTTCTGTCACTGCAAACCTTTGGATCCTCCTTCTAAGAAATGCTAAGATTTCCTAAAATTCTAGTTTTTATGTGTTGGCTTTAACAGAATTTGCTGTTCTTCAAATTGGAAGAATGCAATTGAATTGCAGCAAATGAAGGTATTAAAACAAAAATTTCCTCCAAGGAGGAAACTGTTTATTTGCTGTGATTTTTGGAAAGGCGTACGTTTGAAGAGCTACAAAATCAGAATTAATTTGGTGCATTTCATATAGTCTATTATGAAATACATGTCCAGTTAGTTAAAAACACATTCAAGGGTAATCTAATGTGAATTTCCTGTTATTTTATACTAATTACATTTTATCAGAAACCAGATTTAATTTTTACATCTGTATATGTAACCCTATAAATAAGACATGTTCACATTTGCTTTTTATTAGTTTTATTATTAATATCTTAAGTCCAAGTCTAAAAGTAATCCACAATGAGCAGAATTTAAGAATTGACAGTATTAAGTAACTTGTTTAATACTGATTGTTCCTTTGTCTCTTTTAGAAATCCGGTATTATGATGAACTGTGTACAGCAATGGCTGAAGAACTGAATGCTGTCATTGTCTCCATTGAGTAAGTAATTAATACTAGTCATAGAGGGCACCTGAGTGGCTTTGAGTCACTTAGTGGGTTAAGTGCGCTGGGCATGGAGCCTGCTTAAGATCTCTCTCTCTCTCCCTCTGCCTACCCCCGCACCCCCCCCCCCCCCCGCCGCCTCCCTGCGCATACTCCTTCTTGAAAAGAAAAATACGGGACACCTGGGTGGCTGAGTTGGTTAAGTGTCTGCCTTCAGCTCAGGTCATGATCCCAGAGTCCTGGGATGGAGTCCTGAGTCAGGCTCCCTGCTCAGTGGGGAGTCTGCTTCTCGCTCTGCCCCTCCCCCTGCTCATGCGCTCTCGCTCTCTCTCTCTCAAATAAATAAATAAAATCTTAAAAAAAAAAAAGAAAAATACTAGTCATAGAAAAAATAGTTTTTAGGAAGAAATCTTAGATAGCCATCTACTTACTTTATTTTACAAGCAGGAAAATACAGTGCAAAATACACAAAATACACAAAAGATGAAGGGGTTTGCCCAAGGTCACACAAAATGATTTCTGATACAATTAGCAATTTCTTGAACTAGCTTTATAGCACCTTGAATTGCCTTTTTATTTTAGTTTTGCAAACTTCTGGAAAAGGAATTAACTGAAACTAAGAAAAATACGCAATCGGTTATCTACAGCAAATGATTTTGCTTACTGCCTTCTAAAATTTAAAAACCAATCCAGAGTTGGAAAAGTCATCCCCTGGAGTTCCATTCTGTAACTCAGACCTTGTAAATAGAATGTGTTCAACAAATCTCGGTCAATGCAGTTATTGTCGTCATCATTACTCATCGTATTAAGAAGAATATGAGTAAGAATTATAACAATTGTGGTGATGGCAATAATACAAAACCCTGCTGCCTCTTCTGTAGCAGGTGTTTTATGGGTGCTATTACATACATTGTCTCTCCTCCTTCAGATCCTTGTTCAAATATCATCCTTCCGGCAAGACCTTCCTTGATCCTGCTATTTAAAATTGCAACCCACTTTTCCTCTGTTTCATTTTTCTCCAAAACTGTCATCAACCTCTGAGAGATCATGTTTGACGTATTAGGTATTTATTGTACTGGGTTGAAATAGACGAAGTAAGTTCTGCAGAGACAGAAAATTTTGGGATTTTGGCCTGTTTTGTTCATTGTTAATCACTGGCGCCTGGAAACATCCCTGGCAGATAGTGAGCATTCAACCAATGTTTATGGAACGAATGAATAGGAGTCTTTCTTTTTGTTCTTTTTTTGTTGTTGTTGTTGTTGTTTAAGATTTTATTTATTTCTTTGACAGAGAGAGAGACAGCTAGAGAGGGAACACAAGCAGGGGGAGTGGGAGAGGGAGAAGCAGGCTTCCCGCTGAGCAGGGAGCCCGATGCGGGGCTCGATCCCAGGACCCTGGGATCACGACCTGAGCCGAAGGCAGACGCTTAACGACTGAGCCACCCAGGAGCCCCTATTGTGTTTTTAAATATTTTATTTATTTATTTATTTGATAGAGAGAGAGACAGTGAGAGAGGGAACACAAGCAGGGGGAGTGGGAGAGGGAGAAGCAGGCTTCCCACTGAGCAGGGAGCCCGATGCGGGGCTCAAGCCCAAGACCCCGGGATCATGACCTGAGCCCAAGGCAGACACTTAACAACTGAGCCATCCAGGCGCCCTGAATAGGAGTCTTTCTTAATTCTCATATAAATCATTCAAGATAAATATTTTTATATTTTTCTCTTAGATGAGGAAATGAGGTCACAGAGCTAGCCAGTTATATAAATAGAGTGAGGCTTAAGCCCACATCCTGAGGCTCCTATACTCTTTGGCCCAGTGTCCAGCCAGTATTGAAGGACGCTGATAATGCCAAGGGACAGGGCTATGATCACATTGACCACCTTCCACACTCCGAGCTTATCCAGAGCTCCTCTTCCCTCTGCCTCTCTCTGCCCGCTGTTCTTCTGTTCATGGCTCATCCCCTCTGTGTGCCTGCCTCAGATCTGAGACCTAAGAGAATCCTTTCATCTGCAGTCTCTCAGAAGGGCTGGTTTCCCAAGTCATTTGGGCAGCGATGACCCTTGAACATGAGACTTAGAGTCACACAGAGCAGTGCGGCGCCTGCCTCTTGAGCAGATTTGCCTCCTAGAGAGCTCTGGACAGCTCCTGGCTGGCTCTGGCCTCTCCACAGGCCCCCCAGATCACCGAAGGGCCCGTGGTGCAGTTTTGAAATATACTTTCCAAGAGAACCTTCTAGTGAAGGCTTGCATCTAGCCAGGGCAGCTGGCCGGGGGAAAGCAGGGTCTGCTGAAGTAGCTGGGCTCCCTTATGGATCAAGGCCCTATAGCTCAGAGCTGTGGAACCAGCCTTCCAGCAGTTTCCTGTGTAGCTCTGGCTCCTCACAGGCCTGAGGATGGGGAGGGAGACTGCACCTGCTTTACTTGGCACCATGAGGATTCTCCACACAGGACCTTACCATCCCATGGAAACAATGGGCAACATGTCTAAATTCTTCCTCAATGCCCGTCTCCACCTGTGAGCATCTGTCTCTAGTAAAATAGGTTTTCTCTTAAAGTCTAGGCTTATTACATAACATATAAGGATGGATGGGATGTTTTAAGATGTTTTAAGAAGATCTCTTTTAAATATGGAAGGGACTGCTTTCATCTTAACTTTCCATTCTGCCCCATGTCGGTGGTACAGTGTCCACAAGTTTATCACTGGGAGGCACCACAGCAGTAGGCAAGGACCATTACCCATGACCATCTGACTTCAGGCAAATCATTTAATGTCATGTGCAAACTGGGCTGAGGAATCCTTCCTGTGTGTCTAGAATGTGAGCTACTGGGAAGAGAAATCCTGTCTTCCTTCCTCTGGTTCCCATCACTGAGGTGAAGACTTAGAACATATATGCTAAGTAAACATACTTTGAGTTAGGTTGACTGCAGAGAACTGTCATGAGAATTGGTTTGGACAACTGAGCTAAAAGGGCTTTAGATACTCTAAAGCACTATACAAGTCTGGAGGATTAGTGCTGTAGTCCATAGAACGGAATGGTCCAACTTACAAATTTATTTATCAGCACCTGTTTGGAGCTCACAGCTCTCTTTGCAGAAATCAAGAGTGAAAGTGGTTAGAATCTAGGCTAGCCAGCCCACAAAGAGCCACATAACCATGCATAGCCAACATCACGTGATCATGGTTCTCTTGGAAAGTATATTCAGAGGTCTACCTTGGGAACATTATTTCTTCTCAGTGCTCATCTCATTCCCCTTTCTTTTATTCCAGAAATATTTATTGAACTTCTGTTATGTGCCAGTTACTATGTTGCACTCTGCTAACATCACAGTGTAAGACAGACATAATTCCTGCCCTCATGGAGTTTACAGTCTAGGTGAGAAAATAAACAGTGAACAAGTAATGTTACATTGTGATAAGTGATGTGAAGTAGAAGGCTAAGTAGTAAGGAGGCATCAAATAGGTAAGATCTTACCTAGTTTGAAGGGTCAGAAAATTCATCCCTTAAAGAAAGCAATGTTTGCATTGAGCTCCTAAAAATGAGCAGAATCTAGTTCGACAAAATGAGCTGGTCATGAGAGTCCAAAGTGGTGTAATGAGAGGGCTTGGAGGAAGGGAAGGAAGCAGAGAGCCCTAAGGGAACAAAACAAGAGAGAAGACAGATGGAGAGGTTTCTGGTGATGACTAAGGAAAATAAGAAAGAAAAGCAGATGATCTTGAGAGCCTTAGGAGGATGATAGACCCTTGGTTCTCCTGGAATTCTACCTTCTAGCAGGGAGCTGTCTGGGGGCAACTTCTCCTTATCCGTGAGGCCCACAGGAGTTAGATGGTGGTGGCATGGCTTAGTTCCTGTGTGGTGTGGCCCTGGGGAGGGTTATAACCTGAGGAAGCTGGTAGGCAAGGGCTGGGGTCAGCCCCAGTAATGGAATCGCTCCCACGAAGCCAGTACTGGGAGCTGGCACATCTCCATTCGTGTTGCTGGTGTTGGCTCACACACAATTCTGGGGACCCAGCAACTAAGGTAGATAAAGGTCTCAAGTTATAAAACTAGGCCATGCCTCTGCTCAGTTGCTTCTATAATACCATGCTGCTTTTACATATTAATTGCACAAGTATTTGTTAAATAAATGCAAAAGTTCATCTTATACTACCCAAGATACATGGATGTATCCTCATTTATATAATCTAAGAAGGTCCTATTTTTATATTCATAAACCTATTTTCATAAATTTTACTGCAGGTTAGCTAAACATTGCACCTTTTTACCTGTAGCTTATATAAGACATAGTACTGGAACCATAAGACATAAGAGAAAAGAAAGATTTAATTTCTTTTTTTTTTTTAAGATAGAATGCAGGATAATAGCAAAGTAGGCATGTTGGATATTATTAAATTCTATTTAATAAATCTACTTAATTCTATAATTAAATTCTACAAGGCATTTAGGTGGCTTTTTGGGTATGGGAAACTGTTTTAAGTTGTGTTTTGCTTTTAATTAAATCTTTACTACACTCAAACTCTCTATGTAGATGGAGACCTAGTCCCATTCCACCAAATGTCAGGTGGCCTTGTGCACAGAGCCCTTAAAACTTTACAGAGCTATAAAGAATGTTGCTAAAGTAGACAGAAAAGAAGTTGGAGCACCTATCTAAGTTTGCTGCTAACAGAGTTATAAGCAATGGGATTTTTATGCTTCTGTTGTTTTTAATCCGTAAAATTAGATGAGTGCAAGCTGACAAAATCACAGTGGTTTTAGGAGGCCCAATACAACACTCATCGCAGTAAATAGTTGTACGAATAAGGTACTCAGTAAAGCAGAGTGAATGGTGACCTAGCTGTGACTTTCTCTCTGTGCCTTTTCCTGCTTTCTTCTGAGTCCCGAGCCTAGAAATCTTCATGCGTCACTCCTACCTGGGCAGCCCTGGAAGGTGGGCAGACCAAATTCCTAAGCGTTCTCCTCCAAGAAAGGAAAGATTTGCTAAAAACTTTCCTTTCACTCAG